TAACAAGGCCCATCATCCTGCGCCACCCTGGAGCCGAGGTTGCCTGTGTCTCTCGAGCTCCTCCTTTCCCCTATGAACTCAAGATGGGCAGGGATTCATATTTATACGTCAGGGTATGTAGGTATGTACATACCTATGTATATAGCATGTCTGTGGGTGTGTTGTGTATGTGTACACTTTGGAGAGCAGGCAACAAAATTGTCATTTTTAATGTGTGCCAGGGTGGCCACAGTTAAAATTGACAAGAAAGGTTATCTTCTTAGGCAGGGGTCTTCAAGCGTGGCCCTTTGATGACTCGTGGACTTCAACTCCCAGAATTCCTCAGCCAGGCGTGCCTGGCTGAGGAATTCTGGGAGTTGAAGTCCACGAGTCATCAAAGGGCCACGCTTGAAGACCCCTGTTCTTAGGGAAGGGAGATTTGGTGCTGCCCCCTGCAGGCTCTTTTGCAATACAGCTAGTCTCCGACTTACGACAGTTCATTTAGTGACCGTTGAAATTTGCAACGGCGCTGGAAAAAGTGACTCAGGACCATTTTTCACACTTCAGACCCGTTGCAGCATCCCCATAGTCACGTGATTTACACTCAACAACCGACTTACATTTATGACCGTTGCAGTATTCTGGGATCATGTGATCCCCTTTTGCCACCTTCTGACAAGCAAAGCCTATGGGGGAAGCCAGATTCGCTTAACAACCGTGTGACTAACTTAACAACTGTAGCGATTCACTTAACAAGCGTGGCAAGGAAAGTCGTAAAATGGGGCAAATCCCACTGAACCAGATTTCTCACTGAGCTACATACTTTCTGTCCTCCGTTGTGGTTGTGAAGTCAAGGACTACCTGTATGTGATAGCTGCAGGGCTCACACAACACGCTAATCCACCAAAGCCAAACCAAGTTAGCTTCTTGTGTGAATGCAGCCCTCCAACTAACCCAGAGTTAACTCTGTACCCAGAATCAGCCAGAGCAGCAACCCAAAAATTTCCTCCATTCCTGAGAGCCATTTGATGTATTAATAAATACCTATTGATGCATTTATTGTCGTCGTCTTCCTTTGTCATTGGTTTACCTCATTGTTCTATTCTTTGACTTTTCTTTGCACGCCTTTTCATTTTTCCTTTTTATTATTGTAAGCCACCGAGAGTAACCCCACCGTGCGATAGGCAGCAAATACCTTTAACAAACACATAAAAAATAAACCTGCCCAAAACTCTTGACCATCTTCTGCAGACTCTCCTTAAACAGTTTAATGCTCTTTGCTTCTTCAAAGTACAGGCGATCCTTCACTTACAACAGTTTGTTTAGGGATTGAAGTTGCAAGAGCATTGAAAAAAGCGACTTATGACCGTTTTTCACACTTAATGACTGTTGCAGCATCCCCATGATTGCGTGATCAAAATTCAGACGCTTGGCCACCGACTCATGTTTATGACGGTTGCCGTGTTCCAGGATCCTGTGATCCCTGTTTGTGACCTGACAAGCAAAATCAACAGGGGAAGCCAGATTCGCTGAATAACTGCGTTACTAACTTCACTGCAGTGCTTCAGTTAACAACTGCGGCAAGAAAGGTCATAAAATGGGGCAAAACTCAACTTCACTGTCTTGCTTAGCAACAAAAACTTTGGTCTGAATTGTGGTTATAAGTCAAAGGCTACCTGTCTATGTGCAATTTTTTTCTTGTTTATTAAAATAAGTAGATATAGTTTTTACAGAAGGATCACTTTCTAACAGGCGGTGCTTACAAATAGGTCTCGGCAAAGAGATTCCTTTTTTTCCTTTAAAAATAAAGCCAATACAATTGTCAGAAATACAGCTCCTAATTTGGTTTCTATTTTGAAGCATCAAATGATCTAATAAAGCGTTCTAGTATACTTCCACTTTGTGTTATGTGTGCTTCTCTGCGTATTAAACAGTGCCCAGGTTTATGGTTACTAAGATACACTAGTGCCAGGGCAGACCTTGACCAGATAGGTCTTCTGGTGCCAGTCCTCCCCCGTTTCCATTCGCTGGGCACACGAGATGCTACAGCCACACCGCCCCAAAGGCCTTGAAAAGCATTCAAAAACTCCAGTATTAACAAATCAACACTGGCTGAAGTTTTATTACCTCCAAACCGCTTTTTACATGTAATAAAAAAAAATACAATTGGGAAATTAAGTTAACAACGAATAACACCTTAAATATTTTGCTATCAACTTCTGCATTTTACATTTCTTAAAACTGGCCTGTTCCCCTTTTGGGAATAGCACCGCACACTTAGGAGAAATCTCAAAAAGCACTGGGGCCACTGCAGAGTAAACAGCCTGCAACTTGCAGCCCTTAACAATAAGCCAACTTTTTTTTATTTTTTATTTTTTGTCCACCCAGAGAAACCCCAGGAAAATCTGGGTCTGGGTTTGGAGCAGGCGGGGAGCGCCTCGAAGCGACAAAAAGGCAACCAACACATCAGCACCGGAAGTGCCTCAGGAGGTCTCTTAATCCCAAATTCAGAGAGCAGATTTGGGGAAGGGCTTGTGTGTGTTATTTGTGGCTACCCTGATAACGTTTGCTGAGAAGGCCTTGCCAAACAAGGTTTCTTCAGAGCGTGGGAAAGCCTGCCTGTTTTCCATTTTACCTGCTGACCTTGGAATAAAAAAAAGAAACAGGATGCTTGGAATGGTATCACTCAGTGCTAAGTTCAGTCTTTGCAGACCAACACGTTAGGATATTAAAAGTTAGGTACCTAACTTAAAGGCCATCTGCTTCTTGGACCACTGGGCTAATCTATCTATCCATCTGCAATCCATTTTTTTTTTTTGGTCCAATCTGCTAGCTTCCACTTTTTTTCTCTTTCCAGGGTCTTTTGTGGGCCATCTTAAAATTTTCCCCCTCTCCAGCCTCGCTTGCTCCAAAATGCTAGCAAAACGTGACACTGATCAAAGAGAGAAGAAATGTCTATTTTTCACATTAATGTTTGGGGAGTCTGTGCCGTAATAGCTTAATCTTTTTTCTACCCCCGAACATTGATGCGAAAATGAGACATTTTCTTCAGAAACCTTTTTTTTTTAAAAAAAAAAACTCCAAAAACTTGTGGATAACCCATAACACAACAACAAAACGGGCCATTCAGCTTTTGAACGGAGGCAGAAAAATCAGAAATAGGCAGGGAAGGGGGCAAAACGGGTAACGTGGACGCAAAGCGGCAGCGGTCGGCTTGCGCCGTCACACTGCGTTGTGCGTGGAAGGAACGCTATACAAATAACATGACGTCGTGGTCCCAAAAACAGATGTACGGAGGAAGTCCAGGCCTCTTAATACAGCATTCTTCTTGCCAGGAAGGTGCCAATCGAATTGCAAAATTTAGCAGGGAATGCACCATACCCAAAAAATGGAGGGCCGCGAGCGAGGCAGGGGCCTTAAAAAGTGTTAAGTTGGATGCCACAATCATTGTCCTGACTGACAATGTGACACCCTCGCCCTTCGTGGACGCCCAGGGGCCTGTCTCTGAACCAGCCAAGGCTCTCGTGTCTTTCGCCAACCAATCTTATCACCAATGGATAGGAGAGAGGGATGCTTTTAGGCATCCACAGCCATCAGCTGGACGTTGGGACACTTTTCCGCCTTTACAAGGACTGAGAAGGAAGCTTAAAGAACATCTGGACTGGATAATTCCCCACTTCAGCCCCAGTCCCTGAAGCGCAAAACTCACCTAGCCAGGCTTTAACCTCCCACGGACCAAAAGTTCTCCTCCTGCAGGTGAGATTTCTAATTTGACATTTTAGGCCTCCAAATCACAGAATCTCTGCTGGGATATCAAGGCAGCCTCCTTTCCCCATCAAACCCCCATCCTAGGGCAAGTTTTGCAGCCACGGGCAAACGAGGTTTCCTCCCGTGTCTGAAAACCATCTTCAAACATCTCGTCTTTGGGCAACGTGGAACTCTAGAGGTGGGGTGTAGTGGACGCTTCCCTCCGCCGATGGAGTTGCGCCACGGGACGTCATTTCCGTATCTGTCCCAGGGATAAACGGAGGCCAGGCCTTTAGCCACAGCCAGGCAAGTGGGGGAATGTGGCTTCCGTTCAAGCCACGATCTAGCCAGGACCACTGGTAAAGGACAGAGATCCTGGTTGCAGAATCCTAGAGAATTTTGCAGAGGATTTGGGAACGCTCTCTGGACGTTGGTCTGGTTCAAGGCCGCATCGGGGCACCCTTCTTCCCTCCTTCTGGCTACCTGAGAAGAGAGGGTGGCTAGGGACCCGTCCGCCGTCCGGAGGCTCAAGGACACGAAATCCTGGCCACCCCTGAAACCTCAGTTGAAAGAACGGTGCCCGTCAGCCCTGCAGTTCCCGGAGGGAAAAATGACTTGCCCTCACGGACTCGGGCAACTGACGCACAAACCCTACCGGGCCCATCACTGCATGCAAAGGCAGCCAGGGTGCACGCAGCGAGTCACAGCGGCCAAGTTAGGACATCATGCATGCGAGACGTCGCGAGCGCATGAGGCCTCCTGAGATACAAACCGGGATCTGCCGGACAAGGTCGCGCAACCCCTTGGACGCCGGCACTCGGCAAGGAGGCTGCTGGCTCGTGCACTGGATCCAGAGCGGGTGGCAGTGGAGGCCGTGGGGAAGGTTTTACGTGGCAAACACCACGCCGAGTGCCACGGCAACAGCGTAAAGAAGTGTTTACTTTGTCAGAAGCACAAGCGTCCACGGCAAACCGGAGATGGTTCGCTTGAGGTCCTCCTGGCCCCGAGGAGACCTTCGTGGAACGAGCCCCCCCTCCCAGTGGGGGGTCTTCCACCTCGCCCCAGTCCTACTTCTTCTTCTTCCCTTTCTTCTTCAGAGAGCCCGGCCACGGGAAGCCACGGAACTCCAGGCAGGCGGCGGCATTGTGGGCGATGTAGTAGAGGTTGAGCATGGCGGCCGGGCTCAGAATATCCACCTCCACGGCGGCCTTCTTGGGTTTCTTCCCAGCCTTGCCTTTTCCTTTGCCCGACCCCTTCCCTTTGCTCTTGCCTCCCTGTGGGGTGGGGTGGGGTGGGGTGGGGTGGGAGCCAGAAAGAAAGAAACACACAAAGAAAATCCGTCTTGTAGCACACTAGCAGGGTGCCTCTTCCTCAGGAACCTACACAATTGAGAGCCAGCTTGGTGCAGTGGTCCAGGAACCAGGAGAGGGTGAGTTCTAGACCCGCCTTAGGCAAGGAAGCCAATTGGGTGACTTTGGGCCAATCACCAGGAGACGGTGAGTTCTAGACTCGCCTTAGGCAAGGAAGCCAATTGGATGACTTTGGGCCAATCACCAGGAGACGGTGAGTTCCAGGCCTGCTTTAGGCGTGAAACCAGGTAGGTGACTTTAGGCCAATCACCAGGAAACTGAATTCTAAGCCCACATTAGGCATGATAGTCAGGTGAGTGACTCTGCGCCAATCACCAGGAGACAGTGAGTTCTAGTCCCGCCTTAGGCATGAAAGCTGACTGGGTGACTCTGGGCCAATCACCAGGAGACGGGGAGTTCTAGTCCCGCCTTAGGCATGATAGCCAGCTGGGTGATTCTGGGCCAATCACTAGGAGATGGCGAGTTCTAGTCTCGCCTTAGGCATGGAAGCCAATTGGGTGATTCTGGGCCAATCACCAGAGACAGAGAGTTCTAGTCCCGCCTGAGGCATGATAGCCAGCTGGGTGACTTTGGGCCAATCACCAGGAGACGGTGAGTTCTAGTCCCACCTTAGGCATGAAAGTTGACTGGGTGACTCTGGGCCAATCACCAGGAGACGGTGAATTTTAGTCCCGCCTTAGGCACAGCCCACCTCACCAGGTTGTTGTGGGTTAAACAGGAGGAAGAAGTAGCATTGTGTCTGCTTGCTGCCTCAAGTTACTTCTAAAGCAATAAAGGCTGGATATAAATCGAATCAATAAAAAGACCTAAATTGCCACTTGTGCATCCGGGGATTGTTTCATGGCCTGTGATGGCCTCGCCCACCCGTGTGTCTGGAAACCAGACCAGCTTGGAGCGATGTGACCCAGCATGTCGGGGGGAAGGCAAGGGTGGCAACAGGCTGGGCAAAGATGCCAGTTAAATCAATTTAAATAGATGCCCATCACATTGAAAAGACACCCCTTTAGCTAATTCCTCCCAGCGAGATGGGGGCGAAGGAGATGACCACTACACCACATGATGGGGTCCCTGGGGCCAAACTCCATCTCTGCACGGCCGGGGGACGTGGGCATGGCTTCACCCGCCACAATCCGAGGAACAGAGCGGGAGACTCTTAAGCACCCCCCAGAATTAATGCTCACCGAGGACTTACAACCGTTCCTTATAGTGACCGTTCAAAGGAACAGCGGCACTGACTAAAAACTCGACTTAACGACCGTTTTTCACACTTAACGACCGTGGTCACGTGATCCAAATTGGCAAACTGGTTCCTATTTACGACGGTCGCCGTGTCCCAGTGTCACGGGATCCCCTTTGGCGACCTGACAGGCAAACTCGACGGGAAATCCCGCTTCGCTTTGACAATCGTGTTAGCAACTTAACAGCTGCAGGAAGGTCACTTAAGGAAGGTCGTAAAGCGGGGCCAAGCCCACTCGGCGACCGCCTCACTTAGCAACGTAAATTTTGGGCTCCGTGGTGGTCGCCAGGGTGAGGACCACCGGCCTGCTCAGCTCTCTCCCTCACCCTGCAGCCAGAAAGAGCACAATCTAATCTACCTGTCCCGCAGGTGAGGCCCGGGGAGGCGCACCTTACCATAGTGTCATCCTTTTATTCAGGTGAGCGGATGAGCATCGTGCCCACTTTCAAAGGAAGACCAGCGGATCGGATTCCAGTCGCAGCAACTGCAGGGTTAAGGGGGGGGGAAAAAAGAACAAAACAGGTGAGGCCTGCATACCTTGCAGAAAAAAATAGTCCTATTTCTGATCAGAGATGACCGCAGAAAACCGCAGCACAAAATCAAATTCCTTTTTACGCAACACGGGCCGCCCGTTAAATCTTTTATTATAATAAAGGCCAGCCTAAGGAGGATAAAAATGCAGGCCATCATCATTTCAAAAGCTAAATAACGTAAAACAGACAAAATTAAAAAAAAAACAAACGTGCAAAGTCCTCAACGTACGACCGCAACGGAGCCCAGCATTTCCGTTGCTAAGTGGAACAGCGAAGCGTGTTTTGTCTCGTTTTACAACCTTGCTGCCCACAACGGTTAAGCGAAGCCGCTGCAGTTCTTAAGCTAGCAAGCCGGTCGTTAAGGGAATCGATCCGGCTTCCCCCATTGAGTTGGCTTGTCGGTGGTCGCCAAAGGGGATCCCGAATGATCCCAGGACGCTGTGACATCGTAAATGTGAGTCAATTGCCAAGCATTCAAATATAAATCACGAAACCACGGGGATGTGTGTGACAATCAGTCCTAAGTCACTTTTTTCACTAATGTAACTAGGAGGAAGGAGTAATTAAAGGCGGAGGGAGGGAGGGAGGAAAGGAAGGAAGGGAACAAAAGAGGGAAGGAAGAAAAAAGAAAAGGAAGGAATAGAATAGAAGCTGGAAGGGACCTTGGAGGTCTTCTAGTCCAGCCCCCCCCTCACACAGAGCTCCGCTCAAGCAGGAGAACTGATACCATCTCAGACAAGGAAGAAAGGAAGGAAATGACAGAGGGAAGGAAGGAAGGAAAAGAGGGAAGGAGTAGAATAGAATAGAAGCTGGAAGGGACCTTGGAGGTCTTCTAGTCCAGCCCCCCCCTCACACACACACACACTCAAGCAGGAGAACTGATACCATCTCAGACAAGGAAGGAAGGAAGGAAGGAAGGAAGGAAGGAAGGAAGGAAGGAAGGAAGGAAGGAAATAACAGAAGGAAGGAAAAGAGGGAAGGAAGGAAATAACAGAGGGAAGGAAGGAAGGAAATAACAGAGGGAAGGAAGGAAGGAAGGAAATAGCGGAAGGAAAGAAGGAAGGAAATAACAGAGGGAAGGAAACAAGGACGGAAAAGAGGGAAGGAATAGAATAAAATAGAAGCTGGAAGGGACCTTGGAGGTCTTCTAGTCCAGCCCCCCCCTCACACACACACACACTCAAGCAGGAGAACTGATACCATCTCAGACAAGGAAGAAAGGAAGGAAGGAAGGAAATAACAGAAGGAAGGAAATAACAGAGGGAAGGAAAGAAGGAAGGAAAAGAGGGAAGGAAGGAAATAACAGGGAAGGAAAAAAGGAAGGAAATAACAGAGGGAAGGAAAGAAGGAAGGAAAAGAGGGAAGGAATAGAATAGAATAGAAGCTGGAAGGGACCTTGGAGGTCTTCTAGTCCAGCCCACCCACCCACCCACCCCCACCCCGCTCATGCAGGAGAACCTATATACCCTCTCAGACAAGGAAGGAAAAGAGGGAAGGCTGAAAAGAAGGAAGAAAGGAAGGGAAAGGGAAAGGAAGGAAGGAAATGGAGGGAAGCAAGGAAACAAAAGAGGGAAAGAAGGAAAAGAGGAAAGGGAGGAAAGGAAAAAAGAGGAAAGGGAGGAAGGAAGGAAGCATCCCCTGAAATTCAGACGACACACTAAACCTGGTTCCTAAATCAATCCACTTTCTGGGCCGGGTAGACACGGGATGGAGAGGAAGCCTTAACCCGAGGACCAGCCGACTCGTCTAAGCAGCCGCGGAGTCAGAACCGGGACCACCCGCCTCACCCCCTCCTCACCTGTCCGGGGTGCCCACGGGACCCCCGCGGTCCCCGTTCCCACGTGCCCCACGGGACACGCGTCGCCGCCTCCCCTCCGCCGCAACCGCCGCAACGGACGCCCGCGGTGGGCGGGGCCCCTCGCCGAGGGGCGGGGCCCGGAGGCTTCCGTTTGTCCCGCCGTTACTCTGGTTGCCATGGGGAAGGGGGAGGATCCCGGTGGCTAGGCAACGAGCCTCCTGACTCGGGAGGGAGGGGGGGAAAGAGAAGACCCGCGCCTGCGCAGTCAAAATCATTCTGGGAAGAGACCTTTTGGAGCAGGGCTCTTCAGACTTGGCCCTTTTAGGACTTGTGGACTTCAACTCCCAGAATTCCTCAGCCAGGAATATATTCTATATTCGATTCTACTCTGTATTTCTATTCTATTCTATTCTATTCTATTCT